ATAACAGAGATACAGTGACTCTTATCTGATAAGACAGACCTGGCCCCTGCCCTGCTTAGAGGGGACCTACTATTTACTAAGTGCTTGCTGTATTTCAAGAACTTTGTATACACAATCACTTTTAATTTTTACAACAATCTTATGAAGTAACTGTTAAGTCATTTTTAAAATAAGAAACTGTCAGAGAGAGGCCAGGTGTGGTGGCTCACGCCTGTAATCCCAGCATTTTGGGAGGCTGAGGTGGGCGTGTCACGAAGTCAGAAGATGGAGACCAGCCTGGCTAACATAGTGAAACCCCATCTCTACTGAAAAATACAAAAAATTAGCCAGGTGGCACACACCTGTAGTCCCAGCTACTTGAAAGGCTGAGGCAGGAAAATCTCTTGGACCCGGGAGGCGGAGGTTGCAGTGAGCCAAGATGGCGCCACTGCACTCCAGCCTGGGCGACAGAGTGAGTCCCAAGCCATCTAGCTAGTAACTCAGTGGCAGAGTAGGGGTTTAAACCTGTAAATATCTGCTTCCAAAGCCTAGGTTCTGAGTCATACCATTTTATTTTTTAAAAATCAAGTGGTACAGCCAGGTGCAGTGGCTCACACCTATAATCCCAGCACTTTGGGAGTCCGAGGTGCCTGGATCATGAGGTCAGGAGTTCAAGACTAGCCTGGCCATATAGTGAAACTCTGTCTTCACTAAAAATAAGCTGGGCATGGTGGCACACGCCTGTAGTCCCAGCTACTCAGGAAGCTGAGGCAGGAGAATCACTTGAACCCGGGATGTGGAGGTTGTGGTGAGCCAAGATCGTGTCACTGCAGTCCAGCTTGGGCAACAAAGCTAGACTCTATCTCAAAAAAAAAAACAAAAACAAAAACAAAAACAAGTGGTACATAGGAAGTATATGATGACTAGGGACATCGAGACAGAAATGTTTCCAAGTGGCTAAAACATGGGAGTCAGATGCTGGAGTCTTGGGTTTAGTCTCCATGGTGCTGTCATTCCAAGCACTTGTTCCTACAGCAAAACCTCTGCATTTGCTGAATCCCCTGCCTGGAACTCCCTTCAGACCTTTTCTTGACTGGTTCCTTCCCTTCTCTTTTTTCAGGTCTTACGTTGTTGTTACCTTTTCAGAGAGGCCTTCCCAGTCCACCCTAATGTAAGGTAGCCCATAGCATCTTTTGTTAGTTCCTTCTGTTTTATGTTCTTTAGCCTGCTTACAACTTGGATGTTACCTCATTTATTTTCTTGTTTGTATAGGTTGGGTTCCTCCATAAGAGCAGGACCTTGTCTAATTTATAATATTTTCAGCCTAGGTATACCATGAGCCCTCAGAATATAAGTTGAATGAATAAACATTTATTTCCCTTATCTAGAAAAATGAACTGGGAATTACCAGGACCTATGGTCATTACTTATTGTCTGCTTTCTCCAGAGTATTACTAAATTCATGAGGACAGACAACTTCTGTCTTGTGTAATGCTGTCCCCAACACCTAACACCATACCAGCCATAGAAGAGGCCCTCCATGAGTGTATGTGTTGAAGAATGAATGTTTCTACTGACTGAATGATACCTCTTCATCATTATTGAATTCTGTTTCTCAGGTAAACAATTCTGACTGAATTGCTGTGTACCAAAGAGACTCACAAATCCAGAGGTTTTCAATCCCGGCTTCCCATTGGATAATACTGGAGACTGATGCCAGTGTCCCACCCACAGAGATTCTCATTTCATTGTTCTGGGCTGAGGCTTGGGCATCAGAATTTTAAGAGCTTCCCAGAGGATTCTTATGTGCAGCCAGGTTGAGAACCAATGACTTACGTTGTTATGCTAGAACTCATTCCTTGTTTTGGTCCTTTTAGTCTTGAGGAAGCCGTGGTGAGAGAGGGCAGGGATATAATTCATGGATATTGTATGATTCCTGACAGTTTAAGAGGTACTTTCACAGCTGTTATCACATCTGATAATAACAAGCTAAGGAATCTACTCTCTGGCTTAAATATTCCCTTTATGTTGATGACTCCTAAAAATCTCCATCTGCCTTCACTCCTAATTGTGCATACCAGTATTTAACCTCCTCCTAGATCAAACTATTTGCTGGTACCTCACATGCAGCAGCTCTAGTGGTGTGTGGTTCCTGCAGGGGTCTCCTTCTCAAACTACTCAGCGTGTTACAGCATCACACCACCTCCCGTGGCTGTAGGCTCCTTCGTTCCAGCCAGATGCCTCGAGCTCTGATGTCTCTTCACTCTCTCCTTCCTCTCCCTTCACCCAGCTGCTGCCCCAGGTCAGACTCCTTCATTGTTCCTCCATGGGTTGTCACCATCAGCCTCAGTGACCTTCTTGCCTCCTTTTTCTCTCCCCTCCAGAACAACCAGAGTCACTTACCTGGGTACAGACTGGGTCCTGTCCTTCCCTTCCCAGATCTTCCCTAGCACTTAACAGTCAAGTCCAGACACCTCGGCAGGGCCTTCAGGACTCCATGGTCTGGTCCTAACCTGACCTGCTTCTGGGAAATGCTTCTCGACCCCACTGGAGCCACAGCACACAACTTGGAGTATCCTGAGCCTGTGGGGACCTTCCATGCCTTTATGCATCTGCCATTGTAGCATCCTCTCGGGAGGCCTTTCCCCACATGTTAACTTTTCAAAATGCTTGGTCTCTATTGTTGCCCTCTCTGAGACTCCTCAAGTGTTTTGTCCAAATTGTTCCAGCATAAGGGTTTCTGTTTATGAATTATTCTCTCTTAAGCTCATGGTCAGGTACTGGGGCTTAAGCGTTTTGTTTCTCCAGGCATCTTCTGTGAAGTAGGCCCTTAAATGTTGAACTGAAGGTAGGAAGGGGAGGTATTCACATCCCTTGTTATTGGAGAACAAATTGAGGTGTTGGTAACTTGAAGGGCATTTTAGAACACTTTAGGGCAGTCTTGAAGTCCAGATAGATTTTGGAGAAGCAGAGAGGAAACATGCTGCCAAAGGCCCTGGTGTTAGGGCGACTTTTGCCCACCATGCTATCTTGGAAATAGATTTGATCAACAGTGTGGCCCTATGCACATCAGGTTCTGTAGGGTGCTGCAGGCCTCCCCATGAGGTTCTTTAAAATGATCCAAGCCTTTCTGTGAAGAAGGAAGGTGCTGATAGCTGAACAGGCGAGCATTGACAAGATTGTGTGTCTGTGTATGTGTGTGTGTGTGTGTGTGTGTGTGTAGAATCTTAGTTGGTTTACGTCACTTGCATTCAGGCAGGGGGGCTAGGGAGTTTGGTTTCCTTTCTACTACAGATGGTTGACATTGAGCAAATGCTGACAGTGTGCCAGGTACTGGCCAGAGCTGGGAGGGGCTGCACGGGACTCTGTCCTATTGTTCTGCACCCACTGTGAGCAGGCCTTCTGTGTGGTCCCAGTTACACATGGAGCAGGCAAGCTCCAGAATTACTGGATTTGACAAAGAACTGAGGACAAGGTTAGGATTCTGTACCTTCAGTAAGGACGCTGCTTGTACCTGGTGCCCCCACCTCTGTGCTTCTCCCTGTCTTCTGTGGAAGCAGTGGAACACGTGTGTTTTGTTGCATACACACATACAAACACGTGTTTTCTTTACACACGCCAACGTCATTGTCTCGGTTCCACTAATAGCAGCTTGTGGAGGGCTGCATTCTTGGTTGTCCTCAAGCCGTGTCCCAAGTCCGCAGTTCCTTTGTATAACCGACTTTGCAGAAGTGCTATTAAGTGACGATTTTCACTCAAAGCTCTTCCCCAAATAATGCAGCGGAAAGGTGATCTGTGGCAAAAGAGGGCTGCGGGACTGGAGAACACACCAAGAGGCAGCTCTCCTCACCAGTCTGGGGGAAGGGCTGTGTGTTGGGCTCGGCTGCCCTGCAGTGCTGTCCAAACCAGCCAGAGTCTGGTATCATGACGAGTGTAGGACAGATTCTGGAGCCTGTGTCTCCAGGGGCCGGCCCTCTTTTTTTGTTTTGCCTCCTATTTCTTTTCCTCTGTACATTGGCCTTAAAAATGTCTTATATAAGTTGTCTTAGGCCAAAACTAGAGTTTGCTTTGGAGCTGGAGGCACTGACTCTGTTCAAGGTAAACATTTCGCCTCATGGTCCTAGCTAGGAGCAAGTGTCAGGTCCACTTCTGCACACAGCCTCATGTGCCATTCTCTTTTCCCTTTCCATGCTCCCTTTGCCCCCCACCCTCACCACTTTTTTCTTTTCTTCTTCCCTTTTCCTGTCTATTCTTCCCTCACTGTACAGGCACCCATCGGCATTGCCTAACCCTGCTGGTGGCAGGCAGATCCTGACCCCTCTGGGTGCCATGTTCATGCGGCCCCCTCCCTAGTGGCTTTCCTCTGCAGCGGAGCCCACTGGTATATGGCAGAATGGCCACCTCCTGACCCCTGACCGTAGCCCAGGTTCACTAATTAGAGTACGTTGATTTATTTATAGACACTGGGTCTTTGCCAGAAAAACTCTGTCCCGTTTTCCTGGGTAGCACAACTGAGGGCTGGTCTGGCACTGAAGGCAATTCTAGCAGCTCAAGAATTCCAATAATTTCCACCCATTCTTATCATTTACAGGGTGGTAGAAATATGTGAGCTAATTATCTAACATATTAGATAATATTAGTAAAATAATATTTTCTTTCATATACTTAGTGCTGCAACTGTGAGTCTTCCCTTAATCATCTTTTTTTGCTAGTTGTGTTTTTTCCATCAGTCATCTGAAATAATAAAATGGTTAACATGACACTAACAACTCTGAAAGTATTCACCCTCTTGGTTTTGCTGCCAACCCAGGAGAATTCCTATGTAGGATCATTTCAGGAGGAAGACAAATAAACTTCCCATTCTTATTAGACTCCACTAGTGATGCCATTAAATGTTGACCTGTTAATGGTCTGTGAATATTTCATTTTATGTGGCATATTTCCATTTCCTTTTGTAAGAAGGAAGTCAGTTCTTGTGACTCTCTTAGATTTATACCTTCACTCTTTTCTTTCCCCCTTAGAGTTGAGAATTATGGCTGCCGGAAAATTTGCAAGCCTTCCCAGAAACATGCCGGTGAATCACCAGTTCCCCCTGGCCTCGTCCATGGACCTTCTGAGCAGCAAGTCCTCTCTCACTGAGCATCGCACAGATGCCTATCAAGACGTGTCTATACACAGCACCCTTCCACGGAAGAAAAAAGGTCCTCCTCCCATAAGGTCCTGTGATGACTTCAGTCACATGGGCACCCTCCCCCATTCCAAATCCCCACGGCAGAACTCGCCTCTGACCCAGGACGGCATCCAGGAGAGCCCACGGCAGGACCGGCAAGGCGAAACCTTCACCTTCAGGTAACTTCTGTAATTTCACAAGTGAAGATGATTTGTCTTAAAGGGCTTTTTTAAAAGTTTGTGTTAGGAAAAACGTCAAACATACACAAAGTTGAGCAAATAATTTAATTACTCCCTTGAGCCGGTCACCTGGCTCCAATAGTTCCCAGCCCAGGGCCAGTTCTGTTTTGTCTGTACTCCCACCTACTTCCCTCCTCTGGTATTATTTTGAAGCAAATCTCAGATTTCATGTTATTTGATCTGTAAATATTTTGGTCTGTTCCTTTCAAAGATAAGGACTTTTATTTTGAAAACTATATAACCACAATATAAAAAACCGTTAACATCTAAATAAAAATTAACCACTTCTTAACATTATGTAACATTTGAGGGTATTTTAAAATCCACCTTCCTCTGTCAAGTCCCTTAAAAGAAAGCCCAAGTATTTTTTTAAATCAGATTGTGAACTATGCCCATCCACTTCTATAGAGATGCCACAATGTCTACAAATTGACCCCATATCTCCTTATATTTAGTTGTCAGCATGCTGAAATAAAATTTTATATGGATGTACCATTAGTTCAGCTTCAGAACACTTGGACAATAATTGATTTTTCCCTCTCTGTGACAGAGATCTGAGTAAATGAGCTTAATGGTTATAAGTGCTTTTTCTCTGTGATTGGTTTCTGCCTATGAGAGCTAGTTTGGAAACGGCACTCCTTTTCCCGTTGGGGAAGATCAGCAGCCTGTGATGCTATCTGGTAAAGAGTGGAACGGTTTCTTTTGTTATCTTTTTGTCCAACGTTGTTCTTTGATCTTAGCTCATTTATTTGTTCAGTATCTATATATGGAGCACTTACATTAGAGTATGTTGATTTTATAAGCCCCAGGGCTTACCAGGAAAATTCTGCTCAGTCCTTCTGATTATCTTAACTGAAGGGCTAGTCCAGCATTGAAGACATTCTAGTGGCCAAATTATTGCAGCAATCTGTGCTTGCTCGTTTATAGGGGTGGTGGAAATATGTGAACTAACAGGCTAGCAGTGGAACATCTGAAGCAATGTCTTCCCAGAGCTTACATTCTAGTGAGAGACTTAGGTAATAGATACAAATAAATAAGACAATTGCAGATTATACCAAATGCTATAGAGGAAATGGAGTGACATGCTGGAGATTTATTGGAGGTGATACATTTTTGGTAGGATGACCAGGTTTCTGAGATGGTATTTAAGCTAAGACTTGCATAAGGAGGGAAGGCAACCATGGGCCTCCTAGGCTGTGCAGGCATAGGGAAGGCACGTGCAGAGAACTGGAGGCGAGAGCAAGTGTGGCATGTTTGAAAACCCCAAAATGAACTAGAATGGCCTATGGCTGGAGTGTAGCACATTGAGAGGAGAACAGTGTTGGTATCGGTACAAAGCTAAGGTGAACAAGAGTTCAGAATTATTTTCAGTTCCAGTTCCATAATTGCAATAGTACAAAAAATAAGTGGAGGCCCAGATAATCTCCATAGAAACCATTAGAGAGCCCTGAACTGCTTCTGACAGCAGATTAGAACATTCCTTGGGGCATCCTGGGGGTTAGAAGGTCCTGGACCCACTCCACAAAATCTAGATGGGTGAGCTCCCAGCTCAGAGAGCTAGCAGTCAGCCAGTGCTGGAATGGGTGAACACAGAGGCGCATACCTGTGCACAGGATCGTTAATATCGCATCATTGGCACTTAAGGGGCAAGAATGCAGGAGGGAGCAGCAAAGACAGGTAACTTCTGGCCTGCTAAAGATAAGCACAGATGCCAGGCTGCATGATGTGGAGTCAGAACCAACTAGCTGGCTTACAGTGGACTGCATTTCATTTATTAACTTGAACTGCGCTGATTGAGGTGTCTACCATATACTAGACACAGGCAATTTATAGACTCACTCCTTGAAGTTCTGAGGCCCTGGCTAAGTGCCAACTCTTACAGAGGGAAACTCCACACACTAGGGGGGTGGGTGGGGAGGCGGTAGTAATGGAGTCACTCTTCCTATCTTGGGGAAGTTCTTGGTAAACACCCAAGGTCCAAGCTGTCAAGCTGCCAAGAGTTTAAAGCTTTTTGATTTGAAAACTGACTTGGAAAGAGGTCATATTTCTGTAAAAGATGTTACCAGAGGGTGGGCGCAGGTCCTGAGTTTGAAGTCCAGGCTGTGGAAGACTTAAGCACTGCTGGTTTAAAGTTTGTTTATGATTGAGAGCTCTATTAATCCAAATTCACATCTTTTTTTCTTTTTTTTTTTTGTTTTTTTTTGAGGCGGAGTTTCGCTCTTGTTACCCAGGCTGGAGTGCAATGGCGCGATCTCGGCTCACCGCAACCTCCGCCTCCTGGGTTCAGGCAATTCTCCTGCCTCAGCCTCCTGAGTAGCTGGGATTACAGGCACGCGCCACCATGCCCAGCTAATTTTTAGTATTTTTAGTAGAGACGGGGTTTCACCATGTTGACCAGGCTGGTCTCGATCTCTTGACCTTGTGATCCACCCGCCTCGGCCTCCCAAAGTGCTGGGATTACAGGCTTGAGCCACCGCGCCCGGCCACATCTTTTTTTAAAGATGAATACAGGAAGTAACAAATGCGTATCCCTCAAAAACTATGCTGAGTGAGAAGACACGAGGTTCTCTGTCAAAGGGTCATAAAGTCCTACCCTGCTCTGTTCTATTATTAATATATGTATTTTTCTGACACATTTTTTAAAAACTCCTGAGGTGTTACCAATTTTGAGGAGTTCAAAATACCTTACAATTTTTATTGTTAAGTATTTCTAATAAGATTATAAGCTGCCTAATTTCCTTTTTGAAATCAGCCATGATGTAAACAGAGTTTTTACATATGAAAAGCTAGAACCAAGCAGCCTGAATGAGAACCCAAGGCTCTAGAGAGGGAGGTTTTGCCAAAGGTGCCGCAGCAGAAATACAGTTGTGGAACATCAGCCATTCACACCAGCTCAGTCACCTCTTTTTTTCTTTTCATAGTGAATTCAGGGCTTAATTTCAGTTGACAGTGACTTGCCCAGATGTCAGCTCTGAAAACACTGCATCTCATCATGTTGGGTATTGGCCTGATAAATGCTGGCATGAAGATAGTGGGCCGCCTTGGATGTCTCCTGCGTCCCCTGTCTAGCTCCGTGGCCGGTTTAACTGACAGTCGCTCAGAGGGAGGCCCTCCAGATAAGCACCTCCTTGTCCTGTGAAGTACTCTGTTGCAAGTTTGTGCTTTTCCAAAAAAAAAAAATAGTTTAGCTTATTAGTCATTAAAAAGTCACCTTTATTATAATTGAACATTCATTGAATATCCATCCTGTGGGAGGCCCAAGACAAAGCAGAGGAAGTCTCCTCTTTGATCTTAAAACTTGCATAATTAAGCTGTTGTATCTATGTGTGTCATTTCCTCCCAAATTATTAATTCCTACATTATTAATCATTAATTATCCTAATGATTATTTATACATTCTTAATTATCCTAATAATTGTTAATTGTTATCTGTCTCCTACATTTTGTAGTTTGCAGAGAGCTTACAAGATATGTTCATAAACTATGTTGTTTGAATGTTGCAACCCTGTATGAGAGACGTAGCAGATTTCGTTATGAACACTGTTATTGCCGTCATTTGTATCATCATTTAGAGTTGAGGAAATGGATTCAGGGATGTTGAGGCATCTAAGATCATACCCTAATGGATGACTGAGGTAGGATTCGAACCTAGAAAGTATTCCAAGGCCTTCCCCGGACAGTGTGTTCCATAGTCTCCCAAGAATGTTGGCACCAGCTGTGGGCATCGTCTGAGCTGTCTTCTTGCACAGGGGTCAGTCCCCTGCCTGTATTCAGTGCCTTGGACACCTGCTTTGGGGAGAATGGAGCCTTACCTGTCAAGAACCAGGCAGAAGGCATGCCTGGAAGGGGGAGTTGGTCTTTTTTGGAGACTGTATCTCTTGTCTTTGTTGTTGTCTTGGCTGCCCTCAGATGTACTTGTGGTTTTGAAAGGTGGCCAAAGCCAGAAGCCAGGGAGCTCTTAAACCTGCTGCTTGATGTCACAGAAGGAGCCTTTGTTCTGAAAGTGGACCGAGGTTTATCTGAGAGGTCTGCAGACAGGATTTCCTCTTGATATTCACATCATTCGGCTGATAACCCCTTGATTCATTTATCTTCAACGATGACTTTTTAAAATTTATTTTTATTTTTCTATACGTTATTGAAGTACAGGTGGTATTTGGTTACATGAGTAAGTTCTTTAACAGTGACTTGTGAGATTTTGGTGCACCCATCACCCGAGCAGTATACGCTACATCATATTTGTAGTCTTTTATCTCTCACTCCCCTCCCGCTCTTCCTCACAAGTCCCTAAAGTCCATTGTATCATTTTTATGCCTTTGCCTCCTCATAGCTCAGCTCCTGCATATCAGTGAGAACATATGATATTTGGTTTTCCATTCCCGAGTCACTTCATTTAGAATAATAGTCTCCAATCTCATCCAGGTCAGTGTAAATGCTATTAATTCATTCTCAAGGATGAATTTGTATTCAAGTGTGGAACCTTCCTTGGGCTGAGAGAGGACTGGTTCCTGTTGTCGGGATGTCTGTGTTGCTAGAATAGCTGAGGGATCAGAGCTTGGAGACCATTCAGGTCTTTTCCTGCCTGTGGGTGCGTGGACGCGCACATTCCTGGGAACAGCTGTGAACGCCTAATTCCTTCTGCCTCTTGTGCTGTGGGAGCATGTGGTGGGACAATGTGGTGTTTCATTAGTTTGCATGAGTGGAGCTGACTGACTCATCACAAGTGTTTTAACTGACAGTGGCCAGAAAGTCTGCAGAATTATCCCTAGTTAAAATCTGGTGTGCTTTCCCAGGCAGTAACCTACCCTGTCACAGTGTCAGGTCTTCAACGTTGAAGTAAAGATGTAAGGTCCAGGATCTATGCAGCTTTTTCCTCTAAAACACTGATTTCTTTAAAGTCCTAACTCTGAACTGTGTCAGTGCCGTCATCTGAAAATGAT